TCCAACTATATGGAAATAATTGTTACCGTACCCAATTCCCCATACAGAACTGCTTTGCGCTTACAGTTCATAAAACACAAGGCTTAACCTTACCAAAAGTAACTCTAGCATTAGATGAAAACATTTTTTCCCCCGGTCAAGCTTATGTCGCCCTTAGCAGATGCCCCACCTGGGACAACGTTGAAATATCCCACCTTGACGAATCTGTGTTTGTTGCAAACGAAGACGTAGTATTAGAATATCAAAGATTAGAAAACATTGCTAGAACAAATCCCACCCCATATTCATAATTTCACACAAATGTTAAATCTACAATTGTTATATCTAGTCTCAAAACTATAATTATCTTAAAACATAAAAAATCTGTAATATATTGTAATCTCTAATAACGTACCGTACACATTCCCGAGAAACTGTAATCATAAAAAACCTCTCACGACACAAATATGTAATACACAAAAAATAAAATATTGTATATATATTGATATACGTATCTTAATATAACGATATGGAGTTCATAGGGAGACAACATAATTTTATTGAAAAATGAAACAAAACTTCGAATAAAGAAACTTACAGACTAATAAATACGCACAAAAAAATGGATCACTTATATTTAAAAAATGGATAGATACACGTAAAGTGGGTAAATGTGATATTTATTACCAATAAACCCAAACTCATTAAAGAATCTACATACAAGATCTACGTACAAGACATAGACTACAGAACTACAACTATTAATATATGGTTGACAAGCCCAAGTGCACTACAAGAACTGACCAAATTTAAATATTAAACCCGGATCCTCTACTACTAAGATCTTGTATCTATTCAAATTAAACAACTAAAAGTAAAAGTTTATCTAGATCTAACAATAAAATAGCTTTATACGAAAACGTTTCCAGTTACCTTCACTCCACAATATGGTCCAATAAATGGTAGGCATACCTTATCTTCTAAGTAAAGTTCTCGGGTTACCGATTATTTCCGATTACTTTTTGTACAATGTTCTTTCAAAGTGAAAAATGGCTTTTGTTATTAGTGAAACGTTAAGTTACCCTGATAGTAACACATGATTTATTCTCGTAACCAATATAACACTAACGATTGGTCAAAAAATTGACCAATAAGTTAACGCCTAATCTATCAGATAAGTGCACGTGGTACTAGGAAAAAAAATACTAGCTAGTTAAAAATTATATTTATCCGACATGTCTTATGTGAACACCGAACGATTTTTGTGTCACTTATTCGGCCTCCTTCTACACTGGCGATCATAAGTAGTGCAACAAAAAATTTTTTTTTGTTATATTGCATTATCTCACGCAATTCCGAACGTATCCTTTTTTTTTATATAAATTTTATTCACCAATACCAACGTTTTCATCAATAAAAAAAAACAAAAAAATTTAATGAACAAAATTTTTCACAGGCATGAGCTTTATTCCAAATGTCAAGTTGCATTACTTTTGCTTGTTTTTGCAGCAACACGGCTGTAAAACAAAAAAGTTTTTTTTTACATAATAAAATAATTTTTTTTTCTATTTAAAATCTCTCCACCTTCACCATTGGGTGTACCCTCCCCGAGCCCTAATTACAGCATGAATCCAGTCTGGCATTAAATGAACCAGCCTTCTGCAGGTTTCAACATCAATCACCTGCCAGACCTCTTGAATCTTTTGTCAAAGATCTGTCAAACTTGAAATTTGTCCAGGAAGATCTCTCAACCAATAGTTGATTTCTTCTCACAGGTCTTTGATTGGGTTAAGATTAGGGAATTGGGGACAATTGAAAAACTTCACTTTATTCTTCTTACCATATAGTCGCAAAATAATGCACAGGGTGTAATTTTAAATTTTGGTCTAAATTAAGCTTAATTCAGGCCAAATTTTGAAATAACACCCCTGCATGTTATTTCACAACTATATAGTAAGCAAATGTTTTATCAAGGTTGCTATATGACAAGATGCTCCATCTTGTTGGAAAGTTACCTCACCAACATCAAATTCTTGATCCCTGATTATCCATATCAGGTCTTTGCAAAGTATCTGCAGATACAAGTTGCTATCCATCATGTCATCAACCTTGCAATAGCTACCAACATCATGAGTACTAAAGCACCCTCAAATATGATTGAATCACCTCTGTATTTCACAGTTGGCTTTACATAGAACTTATTTAATAGTTCTTCATGACATTTTTAATACTATTGCTTACTATCTAACCTAAAAATTTTAAATTTTATTGGACCAGATTACCTTAGATCAATTGTGAATAGTCCAATTGCATATTTTTTTGCAAAAGTGAGCTGTTCTTTTCAATGACTGTTACTCAGATATAGTTTTTTTTACCTCTGATACTAACCTGTGGATTTTAAGTATACGATGAATTGTAGACACTAAAATATCTATATTTGAGTTTTTTGCGAGGTAAGCCCTCACTTTAACAGTAGTGGAGCACTTATAGGAGGTAATGAGGTTTACTATTCTTCTTTGAGTTAGTTCGGCTAATAAAGGTAAATAACTAACTCTTGCTAAATCTTCAAGTGAGCAGTTTATTGACTACTTTTTTAATTTGTGAGACTGTGGAGAAGTTAATATTATAGGCCTGACCTACTGCTCTTGTCGTGTACTTTTTCTGAAGTGAGAGTAATACTTGGGCTCATTTGGTGAGAGTTGTTCGGCTCTTATTTTTTTTCTTGATTATCAATAAATCCTAGAATTGTACAAGATATAAAATCAACAATGGGATTTACATTTTTAATTGTATTTATATCACACAGATCACATGATCTGATCCTTGTTAAAAATAAGCAAAAGTAATGCAATACATGTTTTGTAATACATGCATGATTATTTTTGAATTGGTATTAATAATACTTCTAAAATTTTAAAATTAGAAAAAGGCACTATTGGTGAATAAAATAAAAAAACTACCCAATATGCCCAGAATTGCATGAGGTAGCAGTGTTGGCAAATGACTGGTTATTTGATTTTAAATGACCAAATAAACAAAATGATCAAAATAATGACCAAGTCATTTATCATTTGGCCATTTAAAAGTAAAGTTACACAAACCTAAATTTGGCAATTTTATTGGCTAGATCTTTACTATACTTAAAAGATTAAATTAATTATTATTGTCATAAGTTAACTTTAAATTAAGCTATATATGAGTACTCAGCTTAAGAGCTTTGTGGTATCATATCACATGTACAAGTGTATAAATCCTGAAGCTCCCCAACTGACAGTCACAATATGGTAAGTGATATAAAAGAAATCCAGATTAATTCAATAATTCGGGAGTTAGTTATCACAATACTGATGAAACCATTTTGAAAAAGAGTTGCTCTAGCACATATTTCGCACTTTTTATTTTTATAATTTTTATATTAGGTCATTAGGTCTTTTCAACTTTCAGCTTTTCGCCTATGATGTAATACAGTGAAATTATCAAAACTATTCCACGGCATGCAACAGTATGAGGTAAATAAACATTTTTAATCGGAAATGTTATGGGCATGAAACTGTAAAATTTTTATTACTTAGTATATTAAAAGATCGTTTTTATGTGAAACTTCGCAATGTTGATAATTTAACACCATGTTAAGTACTTGTTATTGGACATATTGTGAATGATAACTGATTATTCACTAGATACTGCTGACGTGGCCGAAGGTCACCTCATAATGCGGTATCTGCTGTGAAGAAATCAGTGATTACCGGCTACAATTTGACCAATTACGACATGTCTTATGTGAACACCGAACGATTTTTGTGACTTATTCGGTCTCCTTCTAATTCAAATACACAAATTTTCATTCAACTCTTACGAGGTGATGAAAATTTGTGTATTGTATTACACTGGCGATCATAAGTAGTGCAACAAAAAAAAAAAATTGCTTAGATCATACTACCTCACAGTGTTGGCAATTTCAAATTAACATGACCAAATGACCAAATGAATTAGTCATTAGTCATTTGGTCATTTGAAAGTTGAAATGACCTAATGACCTAATATAAAAATTATAAAAATAAAAAGTGCGAAATATGTGCTAGAGTGACTCTTCTCCAGAATGGTTTCATCAATATTGTGATAACTGACTCCCGAATTATTGAATTAATCTGGATTTCTTTTATATCCCTTACCATATTGTGACTATCAGTTGGGGGAGCAATTACAGATATTAATCCAATTTAGCTCCGATGGTTCACTTAATTTAGGATTTATACACTTGTACACGTGATACGATCCCACGAAACTCTTAAGCTGAGTACTCATATATAGCAGATAGCTTAATTTAAAGTTAACTTATAACAATAATAATTAGTTTAATCTTTTAAGTATAGAAAGATCTAGCCAATAAAATTGCCGAATTTAGGTTTATGTAACTTCTACTTTTAAATGACCAAATAATAAATGACTTGGTCATTATTTTGGCCATTTGGTCATTTAAAATCAAATGAGCCAACACTGCTCTAGATATATTAAACAAATAAGAAATGTGTTGTCATTTCTTGTTCCATGATTAATCAACTAAGATGATTTGCAAAGCGGATGCCTCACTGAAGTTTTTTAAGCCTAACGCTAATTTATAGTACAAAAAAAAAAAGATACTAATGCAACGAACCATCAGAAAGTTTTTATGGTAGTTTATTAACAAATTTATTGCCACGCATACTGAAAAATATTTTAAAGTCTATTAATTTATTTAAAAAGTGATCGATACAATATATATTTTTTTACTTTAGCTTAATTTGTTAGTCATTTTAGAGAGTATTTGACTAAATATTATTGGTCAAATTTAATCACATGATTCTTGACGTTAACAAACTACGTATTTTCAATGCTGAATTTTTTTTATGCCAACTTTGCAGCTTTTATTCCAATCCTGGAATTTGAGCAACATGCAGTAATGCCGAATTACATGATGATTGCAGTTTTCCTTTGTAAGGTTGATACTGTAAATACACATACGGAGTCGCAATCCGAATTTTTTATTGTTTTCAACCAGTTTTTCTGTTTACCAGACGATTCAACAAATAGAAATCTTTATAGACAGAAAAATCCTTTCTTTACACAATCCTGGAGTAATGTCAAATAAATCATGTAAGCTATCATGATACAGTAATAGCATTTTTAACATAAATGCAATTTATTAACATGGTCAATTATAGCGTTATTAGTTGATTACTCAAAGGAGTTAGAAAAGTATTGTAAAGATTCGAATATAAAAAGTTTTGATTACTCGAAATTTAGTAAACTCGAAAAAATTGGACGCGGTGGGTTTGCAATCGTGTATTCGACCGTTTTCCTAGAAGAAAAGTATGCGCTGAAAAGTCTGAACAATAACCTGTCGCTCGATTATGAGCAATTCAAACAATTCGTGCGTGAGGTAATGTGCTTATTATTTGGTATTTAAATTCTTAACATTCAAATTTTACTGAATATGTATTACATATAATTTTATATATAGCTTGAACTTTTATATAAGACTAATCATCCTAATGTTATTAAATTTTATGGAATTTCAAGAGGTATACTTAAAGAACAATTTTCATAACTGAGTTCATATTTGAATATTTGAATCATTAACTTGGTCCCTATTTGCTCAACAACTCTAGATTCACTAACGAACAATTTCATGCTTGTGTTACAATTTGTCAATGGCGGTAACCTACGAGATTATTTAAAAACAAAACATGTTAATGATTATTATATAATTTCATGGGTTGAGCACATCAAAATCGCAATGGATATTACTTTTGGATTGAAATATTTGCACGAAAATAAAATCATCCATCGAGATCTAGTAAATTTGTTTTTTAAATAAATTTCTAATTCTTATAACTAGATTTCTAACTCACTATAAATTTTTTTTTTTAGCATTCCAAGAATATTTTGCTAGATAATGGTAAAGCTTTAATTGCAGACTTTGGAATATCAAAACGACTAGATGATACTGCGACTACAAGCTCAGCTGTGATAGGTATACCAGTTTACATCGACCCACGGTGTCTCCCTGGAGAAAAACGTGTAAACCGTGACAAGGAATCTGATATTTATAGCCTAGGCATACTATTTTGGGAACTTATGAATGGAATTTCACCTTGTTCTACAGACTTAGGAATATATAATTCTCTGAATAAGAAGAAATTTATTGACGCTACACTTTCAGATTATGCTGATATTTATATTAAATGCTGTTCTTCTGAACTTGACCAGCGTCCAACACTAAATGAAATTTCAAAAAAGCTCGAAAATCTATCGGAGAATACAACTGTTGAATTTATTAAAAATTGCATTAATAAAAATAATCAGCAAACTGTGCAGCCAATTCTAAATTATTTAGAACGATTAGATTCCTCTAATATTATAACCGAAAATATAAACATGGAAAAGCACCATGAAGGTAAGCTAAAGTGTTATGGACATTTCTATTTAGACAATCAAGGTGAACCAAAGCGACTATAACCTTGATAGAATATTTACATTTAACAGTCTGGTTATTGGCAATTTATTAAAAATTTTCTTTTTGATTAGGTAATCAAGATGGTTCAGAAAATAATACGCATTCAAAAAACGACACAGTCGATGAATTGAACGAACTTGATGAAACTACTTCGAATAATAATCTTGCAGCCTTAAATGAGGCCATGAATTTATTCACCCGATCATGCAATAGTTCTGAAGAAGTAATACAAATACCAATTAAAACCATTAACGAATTATGGAGCTTCTTTGTCATATACTTCTTAAATACGGGACTTTTATGGGTATTTCAACCGCGTTCACGTGACTTAGAGGGATATGAACAGTGTGGGGGAATCTGGGCTTTTATACAAATTCTTATTGATTTATCATATGATTTGTATTACATTGCTTTTTTTTTTTACACCCAAAAAAAGCTTTTTGCGAGCTGTAACCCGAGTACTCGGTATATATATTTTACAGTATATTACGTAATAAATACTTCAATATGATACAGTGAACATTAATTGAATAACACGTTTGTACTCGGTTTATTCTTAAATACGATAATGAATAAAATAGATACTGCGGCTAAAAGATGAATTTATGATCTAAAGCTAATACAATTATGAGGTTAGTCAACTCTTTAGAGTATTGCGTAAGTAAATTAGTTCTAATATAAAATATGAACTTTATTAAATAGTACCTATATTGCAACATTACTGTTCATTTGTATAGTACGAAGAGATTTGAACCGGACGACTTTTTATTAATACGAGCTATTCAGTTTACGCTATTCAAAAATTATGTTCAAAAATTCAAATCTCATACAAATAGAATATTCTTCACTTTCTCAGTTCTCGTAATTTTGAAGACCTTATGTATCTGATTATCTTCAGTCGTTGAGCCCTTTTTATATTATTATCAGTGATTTTCCGCAATTTCATAATCTGAATTTATTATTTTCATCGACTTGCAGGGACGATTCATTACTATTCTAGGCAAATATCAAAATGTCAAGTGACTATCAAAGCCTATATATCGGCATATTTACTTAAGCCTTTAATTATGACAGGTTCTTTTTCATTAGAGCCAGTAAGTTCATTTATTATCTTTCTAAAATTTTCATTTATAAGGATCACTCTCTTGTGATGCTTCTAAATAATGTAGTGTTGATGCTATTATCTAAGGAGATGGTTACTAAGCGCAAATGATTATTGAGAGTGACAGCTTTCCCTCCAGTTGTATTCCGCAAAAGGTTTATCAATTTTCTTAGAATTTTTACTTTCTTATTATTCTTTTAATATCGCAGAGCTAATTTTTGAAAAAAGTTAAATGTATCCAAAAGGTGAAAATTCATATATATTTACGGATACGAGTATTGCCAAAAGAAGTTGAAATTCTTGATAAATTTAAGCTCAAAAAAAAAAAAAATGAAAGAAATTTCTGTGTCAAATATATTGTTATAATTAACTTACATTTAATTATCCAAGTCTTTACAATAATCATTTTTGGTGGTCTACTTTAATTTAGCAATAATCCCAAATCTTTAAACTCTTCTTGAAGTACGATTTGTCATGATTTTGGAAATGCAACTTATACACTTATCTGTGACAATATGAAAAAAAATTTGTAAATCTGATTGAAATCAATCGAAATCCAAGAAAAGCGAATAATACGAAAATAAATTTCAATATAATATCTGCTGGTATTATTTGGGATCCTGTTTTAGGTGGTTTCGTTCCAGGTCACGTGTATAGTCCAAATTTGGTCCGGTGATACAGATTGGTTACCAATTTATAAATTTATAGAAGATTAATTCTGCATACAGGTCACTCGTTATAGTAAAGTAATGGGTCCAATAATAAAAATTTTAAAAATTTGCTATCTACCTAATCGATGAATTTCGAGCATTGGTAAAAAAATTTTGACCGATGTTCGAATGTTTACCGTGTTCTTTAAACATGTATAAAAAAATATTGTATAAAATTTTTAATTTATTGTTTTATGACTTATAATTTGCTGATGTACATTTAAATTTTCTTATGTTTTGGAAGTATCACTGCTAAGTTACTTTGAATCTAATAATATTCTCATCACACTTATAACATTCCCATGTCTGAAGTAAGCGTTTACTTGGCACGCTTGTTGCAGAAATTGCAAGAAATTGCCATTTTGTAAAGATCACAGGATCTGCTTCGAAATCAAGCTCGGAAAGAGCAAGAAATTTATAGCTTTATTTTCATCTTAATTTTGAAAATTTAATAAAAAGATAGATTTATTAAATCCTTTACGGTAAACTTGTTTTTTTATTCATTTTTATTAGTCATGATGGACCAAAATATCAATATAATTGGATTGCTCTTCATTGGTGAAAGAGAATTTTACGAGAACATTAACAGAAAATTCAGTATCTTTATTCGTTATTAAATAAAAATTTTTATTAAATTTGATCAAGTGATTGTTAAAAAAAAATTTTTATAGTATAATGTCTAATGTGTCTTTTTCCCTTGACAGCACTCATATAGAGTTTCAAATTATATTATTAAGCCACAGAGTAAAACCGGTTCTTGACAGATGGCGAACTCGTCCTTACTAGTTCAGGACCATACTTTTTAGGAACCGGACGAATCATTTAACTAGTTAGAGTATGACTAGTTTATTTCGAAACTTTCTGAAATTGCCCAAAATTTAGTCTTGGCCTTGCCGTATTTTAGGTTCATTATTTCTACATTGAAAATTTTTAGGAATGGCATCATTAATTCGAAATGAATTAAAGTGTAGCCAATAAAATCCTCAAAAGCAATTCGTAAAGTTTTGCAAAAAAAATAAGATTATTGTACAGTATTTTTAACCAAATAAATTCCAATATCGCATGATTTTGTGCGGGAATTTCTATTAGTACAAGCTACCGTTAAAAAATGTAATAGAATTGATTGTTAAATAATTTCATTAATGTCTTTGGACTTTGGTCTTTGACAATCATTGATTATCAATTCATCAGCCCAGTAAAACATTTTAATACAAATAAAAAATCACGATAATGTTAAATCCAGAAAACAGATACATAAATTGACGCTCGTGAAAATGATGTCAAGGTCAAATAACATAGGATATTAGTTTTGTAAAATTTTGATATAAAAAGTCTTAACCTCTCATCAACTCTTCAATAACCTTATCTCAATCCAATACATCCTACCAACAATCAAGACTATAATATTAACGCACTAGAACAATACTCTTAAAACCGTGAAACGTTGATTTGATAAATTTTTTATTCTATAATATAAAACACTTTCAAATTCGTGGAACCGTTCTTATCTAAAAGAGGATAACAAAAGATTCTAAAACAAAAAGAATCATTCTTGCTCCAAATGATTAAACCAATAGTACAAACATGAAAGAGCTTTTTAGTTGTAAGTAAAATAAAACGCTTTCAAATTCGTGGAACCGATGCGCTTTGTCTCTTAAAGTAAAAGTGTCCATTCTTGCTCTAAATGGTTAAACCAGTAGCACAAACATGAAAAAGCCTTTTAGGAAAGTTAATTAATTAATTTAAAACGGTTTTGTACAACCGTACGTAAGTATAATAAATGTATGATTTTTATTGTCGTTATTTATTTTTTTTATACAACAAAATGGAAAACGAAAACTCGACAAAAGAACGATTAGTAAAATATACTACTAAAACAATTGGTGATCTTAATCAAATTGATTTCATTAATTGTCAAAATTTGGCAGATATGAACGATCCAGACGGAATGTACTGGCTTGGATATTGTTACGAATATGGGATTGGAGTTGAAAAGGATGAAAGCAAGGCATTCATTCATTATCAAAAATCGGCAGACATGAATAATTCTAACGGAATGTATAAAGTTGGTTATTGTTATTATTTAGGAATTGGAGTTGAAATCGATAAACATAAAGCGTTTACAAATTATTTGAAATCTGCTGAGGCTGGTAATGCAGCGGGAGTTTGGAAAACTGCCATTTGTTTTGTTTACGGAATTGGTGTGGAGAAGGATGTAAATAAATTTAGAGAATGGATTAAAAAGTATATTAATTTTTATATTTTTATTAAATGTTTGTTTATAGTTTATTTAAAGATATTTACACAATTTTAATTATCAGGGAGTAAGCATAAAGTGCATTTATTGAACTATTTAACTATTTATCGATAATTTAAGCTAAGCTCAGTATTTATTGCCTGTTATTTTAGCCCGTAAGTATAAAGAACATTTAATAATTTCTAAAAGTCACAAAACAAGAACATAAATATTTATTTGCCATTACGTACAATCATTTTGTTCAGTAAGTGAGTATAAAGAACATTTAATAATTTCTAGAAATAAAAACAGTAGAACAAGTTTACAAAACGAGATCCTAAATTCTTATTTATCAATTATTTCATTTGCATTAATTTAGTTAGTGAGTATAAAGAATATTTAATAATTTCTTGAAATAAAAACGGTAAAACAAGTTCACAAAGCAAGAACACAATACTTATTTACCATTACGTATAAATCATTTCATTCACGTTAATTTAGTGGGTGAGTATAAAGAACATTTAATAATTTCTGGAAATAAATCAACAAAACAGGTTCACAAAATAAGAACACAAATACTTATTTACAATTATGTACAAATTATTTCATTCGCATTAGCACGTGAGTATAAATAGTTTCTAGAAGTAGAAAGAGCAAAACAAGCTCGCAAAACAAGTTCACAAAACAAGAACATAAATACTTATTTACCATTACGTACAAATCATTTCATTTGCATTAATTTAGTGGGTTAGTATAAAGAACATTTAAAAATTTCTAGAAATAAAAATAGCGAAACAAATTCACAAAACAAGAAAATAAAATGCTTATTTACCATTATGTACAAATTATTCCATTCGCATTGATTATTTCATTTTAGCATGTGAGTATAAAGAACATTTAATTGTTTTACGAAATAAAAACAGCAAAATAAGTTCACAAATAAGATCATAAATACTTATTTACCATTACGTACAAATCATTTCATTCGCATTAATTTAGTCTGTGAGTATAAAGAATATTTATTAATTTTATGGAATAAAAATAGCAAAACAAGTTCATAAAATAAGAACATAAATGCTTATTTACCACTACGTACAAATCATTTCATCCGCGTTAATTTAGTCGGTGAGTATAAAGAACGTTTAATAATTAATAGAAATAAAAACGACAAAACAATTTACAAAACCATTACGTACAAATCATTTCATTCAGCTTGTGAGTATAAAGGTTATTTATAATCTCTAGAAATAAAACTGCAAAATAAGTTCACAAAACGAGAACATAAATACTTATTTACCATTACGTACAAATCATTTCATTCGCATAATCATTTCATTTAGCAAGTGAGTATAAAGAATATTTAATAATTTCTAGAAATAAAAACAGCAAAACAAGTTCACAACACAAGAATATAAATACTTATTTATCATTACGTACAATTCGCATTAATCATTTCATTCTAGCATGTGGGTATAAAGAACATTTAATAGTTTCTAGAAATAAAAACATTAAATACTTATTTGCATTACAAATCATTTCATTCGCATTAATTTAGTCGGTTAGTATAAAGAACATTTAAAATTTCTAGAAATAAAAACAAAACAACTTAAATAATTATTTACCATTACATTCAAATCATTTCATTCGCATTAATTTTAGTGGGTGAGTATAAATAACATTTAATAATCTCTAGAAACAAAACCAGCAAAACAAGTATATAAATACTTATTTATCTTCATTAACAAATCATTTCATTCGCATTAATTTTTCATTAGCCTGTAAGTATAAAAATATTTAATAATTTCTAGAAATAAAAAAGCAAAACAATTCACATAAATACTTATTTACCTTTACGTGCAATCGCATTAATTTAGTCGGTTAGTATAAAAATTAATTACATTTGATATAAATAAAATTTAAAAATAACATGGCATATATTATATATTATAATTACAAAGCTCATCTGAATATGGAAAATGTGCACATTGTAATGAAGATAATATGAATAAAGCGTGGTGCCTATCGTGCGACCCTGACGTTACAACAAAGTGGACAAGTGGAAATAAGGATATTGATGAATGCATGAAAGCATTCCAACTTAGGATCTTTGCATATGAAACTGAGATTGAATGGATTCCATTTAATAGATTATCTGGTGTTAAAGAAGTTGGTAAAGGGGGATTTGGTTCTGTATATTCAGCAACCGTTGATGGTGATGATTACAATTATGTAAAAATGCGTAAACCATCCACAGTTGCACTCAAGACGTTGACCAGCTCTAAGGAAAACAATTTTGATTTTTTAAAAGAAGTAAGTTGATTTATTGTTTTCATAACTAACTTATAAAATATAACTTATCAAATAATTTATTGAACTAATTCATTGTTTAAACCCTAAGTTTAAAAGTCTTATGAACTGTACGTTAAAACAAGAGAAGATGCTCGCAATATATGGAATAACTCAAAATACAGAAACAAATGAATACTTGATGGTATTTCAGTATGCTAATGAAGGGAGTCTTCATAAATATTTAAGAAAAAATTTTAGTATACTTACATGGAAGACCAAATTGCAGATGCTTTTAGATATTTCAGATAAGTTAGAAAGCGTTCACAGATGTAAATACATTCATGCTGATTTTCATAGTGGAAACATTTTGCAAGACCAACAAACTTATATCGCAGATCTAGGATTGTCTAAAAAGCTTGATGAAAACGCTTCAGAAGGCGAAATTTATGGTGTCATGCCCTATGTTGCTCCTGAAGTTTTATCAGGCGAGCAGCAGTTTTCACAACCAGCAGATATTTATGGGTTTGGTATTATTATGGCAGAGATTTCGACGGGTCAAAGACCTTTTGATGGCTATGAATTCAGCACAAAACTTGCAATTAAGATTTTGCAAGGATTGCGACCAGAGTTTGCACCTGGAACTCCTAAATGTTATATTGAATTGGCTGAGAAATGCATGAATGCTGATCCGCAAAAACGGCCTAGAGCTTTGGACGTTCATGGTATAATAAAGAATAATTGGCTTCGTAATATAGATAGTTCAGAAGATAATGAAATTAAAAAGCAATTCTTAAATGCTGATAAAGTTATTAAATCATTGCAAATATCAAAGCATTCTGATGAAATGTATAGTAGCAAAATTATTAGCACAAAATCAATTTCGCAGGCGATTAAAGGTACTTATTTTTGCTAATATATTAAAATTATGCTATATTAATATATTTAAAAATATTATTTGTTTACTTAGATTTGTCTCAAGCTGATCCTGCTCAAATTAAGTTTGATATTACTGAAGTTTAAAATCTTTGGTATGTATA